AAAAAAAAAAAAAAAGTTAAAGCCCAAATAATATTCTAAATTCCCAGACATGAATATATCTTTAGATGCTTAAATGGATTTCAGCATGTAAAAATTTTAAATATTTATTCTAAACATTTAGAGAAACCTATTAAGATGCTATTTTAAAAAAAAACCATTCAGGTGTCAAATGGAAAATTCAAATTAGTTCTTTTTCCACCTAACAACCTAACAGGTGCTTTAAATTAAACTACCCATTTATTCCTTCTGTTCAAAGTGGAAACAATCTGAATGATAATACCTCATTCATTCAGATGAAGAGGTTTGGAGTTAGTATAATGGCTTTCAAGCTATATTCCTCTGAGTCTAATGGTTTTATGTTAGGAAATATAATGGGCATGCCAGATAAAGAAACTCTCCTTTTATGTTTTATTTATTAAACTTCTGTATAAAATTTTGTTGAATAAGAATTTCATTGCTAAAAATAGTTTTGAGTTTGAAAACCATCACCTCAAAGGCTAATGATCATATAAATCAGGACATGGCCAGAGAAAGGAGCTACTTAGACTATAACCAGATCGAGCAAAAGTGATTTTTTTTTTCTGCAGTTTTTGGCAGGGGTTGGGTTTGAACCCACCACCTCCGGCATATGGGGCCAGCACCCTACTCCTTTGAGCTACAGGCACCTCCCAAGTGATTTTTGAAAATAACAAACAATTGAGCTTCAAGTTGGTGGCAAGTTAAAAAAAAATGGAAGTAACACACAATTAACTGTACTTTGTAATAAAGGTTCTAAAACTGCACATGATGTCTTAAAGCTCACAACTGTATGCTAATAAGAGAAGCACTAGAGTAGATGTATGCCAGTAATGTAAGAGTATGACATTAGTGGGCTCCTTTGTCAAATCTTTGTTTCATTTTTTTCCATCCTTGAAACACATGATTACTGACAACTATACTTAAAGGCACTTAGGACTGATTTTGTGCAATCACTTTAACATTCTTCTGAGATGCTTAGAACTTGAGCAACCAATGAGTACTGGTATTTTGGACTAAATAACTGATTATGTAATAGGCTAGATAGTAAAAATAGACTGTTTTAATATATAAATTTTTGAATATGAGGAAATCTAAGTTAAATAAAATCAATCTGAGGTCCATAAATTCTGATCCTTTAGGTTATTTCTGTTGTCTTTGGCTTGTGCCATTTCCTACCCTCCACTGTTCTTATCTGTGCCAATAAAAACCCTGTCATCATTCTTCAGAATCAAGTACAAATTCTACCTTCTCTAAGAACTTTCCATGATTATCCTAGACAGCAGTCCATTAATCAGGCTTTTGAACACATAGTACTTATGTAGTATTATAATTCATAATTATCATTCTAACAACTATTTATCATCAAGTACTTTAAAGCTCATAATGCATTTTTGACTTTTCAACTTAAGTTATTTGGGGCTCAAAAAACCACAAGTAGAGCAAGAATTAAAATTTCATCTCCGAATGGCGCATTTCAGGTATGGAAAATGAATGAACTATGTGAGAAAATTAAGAGAATCTACTTTAACAATGTGAGAAAATTGAGGTATAAAGAGGTTAGGTGACTTGATAAAGGCCACAGAAATCTTTAGTATAGACACTTAAACCTGTATCTTCCTCATCATCTATAACCATATTAACCATTCAGGGCGAAGTTCCACTCCCTGCAGTACAAAAACTTAGAACCAAAGTAGAAGTCACTGTCTTTGCCTTCTAGAAGTTTAAGAATTCAGCCTTTTTCTAGGAATAAAGACCATGTACTTTTAAAATCAAGACTTGAAACAAAAACGTTGCCTCCCCTTTTATTTTGGTTCCTGGCTATTTTACTAACTAGGTAAGTGACACACCTAGACAGGTGAATATCAAACCAAGTATTATCAAAATGAGAAAATATTTTTGGCACTCACATTACTGTAATTTTCTGGTTTTGTTTTGGTAAATGCTATATACTAATTTGCTAGTAAACAATTTAAACATTAAAAAAAAATTCTTTTGTTTATTTTTTTAAGACAGAGTCTCAAAACTGTTGCTCTGTATAGAGTGCACTGGCGTCACAGTTCACAGCAACCTCCAAATCTTGGGCTTAAGCAATTCTCTTGCCTCAGCCTCCCAAGTAGCTGGGACTACAGGCACTAGCCACAAAGCCCAACTATGTTTTTCTTTTTTTTTTTTTTTTCGGTTGTGGTTGTTGTTGTTTGATGGGCCTGGGCTGGACTCAAACCCGCCAGCTCTGGTGTATGTGGCTGGCACCCTAGCCGCTTGAGCTACAGGCGCCGAGCCCTTAAAAAAATTCTTATGTCTCTCTTTCCACTTAGTGAGAAAAATATCAAATTAGCTAATATAGAAACAGTAACTGCTTTGATCGTAGGGAATTTTTCAACTAGATAAAATCCCTTCCTTGGTATACTAACTTGTTTTAGTTTAATTAAGAACTTTGTTATGGCAGACATCAAAGAACTATTAATTCTTCAATTTTCATTATTCCTTCAATGGATATTTACTGAGTATTTACTATATAAAAAATCACTACTTCTGGCTCGGCACCTATAGCTCAAGTAACTAGGGCACCAGCCACATACACGAGTTAGCAGGTTCAAATCCAGCCTGGGCCTGCCAAACAACAATGACAACTATAACCAAAAAATAGCTGGGCGTTGTGGCTAGCACCTCTAGTTCCAGCTACTTGGGAGGCTGACGCAAGAGAATCGCTTAAGCCCAGGAATTGGAGGTTGCTGTGAGCTGTGGTGCCATGGTGACAGCTTGAGACACTATCTCAAAAAAAAAAAAAAAAATCACTATTTCTTTATTTCTCCAATTTTATAACAGTACTCTATAATCACATTTAATTATCATATCTGCACTACTTACTTGGATAGAAAGACACTAGCCTATTAAGAAATCAACTATAATCATGCACTTTTTCTCATACTAATGGCCTTCCAAATAATTAACATTGTTTTAAACAGAGCATATAAATAAGGCATGAGGGGAATTCTCTGACGCATAGATATTATAATAAAATTTTTCAGCCCATGGCTGGTTCTAAGTGAGAATGAATAAGCTCAAAGAATACATGCTAGCCAACTGAACAGAGCAAAATAAAATGTCCTTTTGTTAAAACATAATTGTATATAAAATAATCACCCAAGAAAGACATTCAGGAATAATCACCCAAGAAAGGCATTCAGGAATGATTAGCTCTATCCCATCTTATATGAAAAACTTAAAAGTATGGGCTTTGAAACAGAAATATAATTCCAAGTCTCTGCTTATAATTTTTATGAAAGAGTGCTAACCTTTTTTAAAAACTGCTGGTGTATCTTGGGATGTTGGTACTGAATCCTGGGTCAAGTCAAACACTAAGATTGGAGAACCATCTGGTTGAACTGATGATGAATTCTTTAAAATGCCCTGTAAAAAGTTATAATTGTTTCTTAAACTTTCATAAAGGTAAACTTAACTCTATGTCAATATTATAAAGAACCTTAATGACACAATTGCTACTGTGTTGTAAAACACAAGGGTAATTATTACTCCACAAAAATTAGTATCTATAGAGGAACTTTGCATTAATTTTCTAATTTTTCTGGAAATCTACTAGTTGATTAAATAAAAAATTAAAATTAAAAAATAATTATAACATTATTGGCAAAGTAGAAGTTGTATTTTGGAACAATTTTTTTTTTTTGAGACAGAGATTCAAGCTGTCGCGCTGGATAGAGTGCTGGGGTGTCATAGCTCACAGCAACCTCCAACTCAGGCTCAAGTAATCCTCTTGCCTCAGTTTTTCCATTTTTAGTAGAGATGGAGTCTCACTTTTTTGCTCAGGCTGGTCTTGAACTCACGAGCTCAAGCAATTTACCCGCTTCAGCCTCCTACAGCGTTAGGATTACAGGCTGAGCCACCATGCCTGGCCTGGAACAATGTTTTTGTAAGAAAATTTTAGCAGTATGTATCAAAGGTTTTAAAAAGTTCATACCTTTTGATCAAATTATTCCAATTACACTAACTTCCAAGAATTTGCTCTAAGGAAATGAAAATGTTTAATGGATATTTATAATAACAAAAAATAAAAGGTGTGTGTCCAACAATGGAGGAATGATTAAATAAATTAAATGACAGTTTGTGATACAATATCACTTTTTGGAGAAACATGCAGTGACAAAATGTTCTCAGTATGATGTTCAGTGAAAAATGAGGAATAGTTATCAAATATGCATGGGTCTGGTCCTGATTAATATATTCTGTATGTCACACAATCTGAAGAAAACAAAAATGAAAATTCAGTATGTTTTCTTCTCTCTTTTTTCTAACCCACCCCACCCCTCTTAATACATCATTTTTATTATGGGAATATAAAGATTTTGCTTGCTTGTTTTGTGTTTGCAAGTTGAAAATGATTAGGTTTTAAGAATTTTACTTTCCTCCTGTTTTCTAATGACTTTTTTTTTTTTAAGTAGTAATGGAGGCAGACATTAAAGTGACCCAAACTATTCCATTCCTGCATTAACAGGCAGATTTCTGCACTTTAAAAATTAAAGCATATTATAAGAAAGCAATAATGGCTATTACATAATTGTAAACAAGTACAATCTTATTTCAAGATCAATATTTTCTCAACATACCCGCACTTAAAAATGAAAACTACCCACTTTCAGTTTTTTAAAATAGTTCTTTAAGAGAAGTTAGTTCCTCCTAATAAAGATTACACTTTAAGTCCTTTCTGAGGTGGTATCTCTCATCAATTAAGATACATTTTTCAATAAAAATCTTGTTAAATAATTTTTGAATTGGAAATGAAAATGTTTAATGGAGAATTATTTATAATAACAAATTGTATGCCTCATACAATAGCTCAAAGGAACAAAAGAAGTAACTTGCTCAAGTTTAAATAAATGGGTCTTCTGAATCAGTCTATTGTCATATTACATGGTATTTGTCATACCTTTTTACTCACATTTAGAGATTATAGTTTTCAATACCATATCTATTTAAATATATTACCTGATTATTAACATGTTGGGTAATTAGTGCCTGCAGTTATTATTTTATATATTGGTTGAGCTATATCATAAGGATGGTGATATTTTCTGATGGTGATTACGCTTCTACTGAAATGCTTAACTAGCTATGATAGTTCACAATTTTAATTCTGTATTGTAATATCCAATGTGTCCCTGAACTGTGTAATTTCAGAAGTACTTACAGATTTAGACACATGAGAAATACGGCTAGATGACAATTTAGGCGTAGCAGACAATGCGCTTGAAGAGGAGTCTTTGTAGTGTTGACTTCTAGTCCTAAACACTTCAGGAATACCTGTATTTTAAAATTATATAATATATTGAATATATTTCTATATAACCAATTATGTCAAAATATTTCACTTTAAAATTAAAATAGTATACTAATACTATACCTGGACTGGGTGACTCCCTCTTTATTCTCTTTGAAGATAAGCTGGAGTTACTTCTGTTCAAAATATCTATAAAATTATGTTTATTTTAAAATTTGTTACATAAATAAAATATATAATAGAAAAATCATTCCAAAAATATATTCATATACATTGAATAAGTATTAATATATTTCTTTTCCTTAATGTTCAAAGGATTGTGTATAGCATTCAGTTCCTAATAACTTGACACCAAGCCCTTCCCTTAACCCAGCAGTTCTCAACCTGTGGGTCGCAACCCCTTCGGGGGTCAGACGACCCTTTCACAGGGGTCGCCTAAGACCACCCTGCATATCAGATATTTACATTACGATTCATAACAGTAGCAAAATTACAGTTATGAAGTACCAATGAAAATAATTTTATGGTTGGGGGTCACCACAACATGAGGAACTGTATTAAAGGGTTGTAGCATTAGGAAGGTTGAGAACCACTGCTTAACCCCATGCAACATTCATACCCGAAAAGCCTGGAAGATTTCTTATGGGCAAGCTGATTGGGTTATCTGTACCATTACACTTGAGTTCTGAATGTGAAATTATCAGAGACTTCAAACTGATGAAACTAAACTTCGCCATATATGCATGAATGTATTCATGATCTATGTGTATTTGACTTAATAAAAAAAAAAAGGGTAGTAACTTAAAATGTTTTAAATCTACCACCACATCAGAAGTCAATATGAACCTGACTGGATGCTCTGGATCAGTTTAAGATTCCACACTCTTGTACCCATGTGAATTCTGTAACTTCTAGATTACCAAGGGATCAAATTAAAATGTAGAAAAGCAAAGATTTATCTAAAATTACTTATCAGGAAATGGTACAAAGCATTAAAAAATTCCATAAAATGTTAAGAATTTCCCATTTTTCCCCTCTCCTACTATAAAAGAGCTAAATCCCATAAAAATAATTCCATAAAATAAAGGGTCATACAAAAGTAGGGTTATTTTATGATTATGGAAATGCAGTACTCCATGGCTAAACACAAAAGAATTCTAGGAGAAAAATCTGATCAAACAACTTGATACTGTTTTCATCTAAAAGTTCAAGACAACTATTTACTCAAATCACTAAAGAGCAGCTACTTCTATGTTTTGGTAGTTGTAGTCTATCAAACACAAGTTTTCTACCCCTTCCCATGGTAGTTCTATTTTAGTTCATATTCCTCATGCTAAAAATATTTTATGGCTTATACACAAAACATCAATAAAATCATTTAAATTTTGAGTTAATAATTTATACAATTCCTTTTTAGATAGAATCACTTAAAACTTACATACATTGTTTTAATTGAGTACTATTAACAGTCACTTACAATTATTATAAATCCAACTTGAATTTTAATTGTCATGCTTTCAATGAGATGATTTGTATAATGATTTTTTAATATGTTAATATTTCAGCATAAACATCATCATAGGGACTGGGACTAGAAATAATTAAAAAAGTGTAATATTTGGTTCCGCCATTGACAATAAACATGCCAAATATATCTAGTCCATTTTCTAACTTCAGGAACACTCCACTTAGCATCTCCCGATCTGCTACAGAAAATGATACTGAGAATTCAACTGGCTAAATTATTTTATCTCTGATAAAACTGAATAGAAATGGGCAGTGCCTATATAGCTCAATGGGTAGGGCACTGGCCACATACACTGAGGCTGGCAGGTTCAAACCCAGCCCAGACCAGCTAAAACAACAATGACAACTGCCAACAAAAAAAGAGCCGGGCTTTGTGGTAGGTACCTGTAGTCCCAGCTACTTGGGAAGCTGAGGCAAGAGAATTGCTTGAGCCCAAGAGTTTGAGGTTGCTGTGAGCTGTGACATCACAGCACTCTACCTAGTGCAATAGCTTCAGACTCTGTCTCAAAAAAAAAAAAAAGAAAACTGAATAGAAATGCTATTTCAATTTTAGAGTTAAGAGAAGCAAGGCTTTCAGAAAATGTAACATTTGTCTTTTTTTTTTTTCGGAGACAGAGTCTTTCTTTACTTTGTCACCTTTGGTAGAGTGCTGTGGAATCCTAGCTCACAGCAACCTCAAACTCTTAGCCACAATCAATCCTCTTGCCTCTACCTCCCAAGTAGCTGGGATTACAGGTACCTGCCACAATGCCCAGCCATTATTTAGAGACAGGGTCTCACTCTTGCTCAGGCTGGTATCGAACCCCTGAGTTCAGGTGATCCACCAACCTTGGCCTCCCAGAGTAAAATTTGTCTCTTAACTATATCATAATTTGCTGTCATGGTAAGTACGCAAAAAACTGGTATGCCTGCTACATTCCTTAGTAAATTCTCCAGGCTTAAAAAAAAGTAAATAAAATGGGAAAGGATTTGTTTTCCCTTTCTCCCCCGAAATTCAGTATGTTACCCAAGATTTTTCACAATCTTGACAGGACATTTTAACAAGTATCACCAGTATCTTCACATTAACATTATAATAATGTCAAGTCTAATGTCAATTACTCTAATAGAAATCTAATAATCCACAAAGGTACTAGATGTGTTTTGCTACAAATACATAAATATAAGTGTGCTGACTGCCTACACTGTCCATCTACAGTGGCTAAAAAGTAAGAATTCCCTCATTCATGAACATAAATAGTAGTTGCTAGAAGACAGGTGTAGGCAGAAGCTACAGCACATTTTGGTACACAGAACAGAGGTTGTATAATCATGCAAAGCCTGTGCTTATTGTAGCCATATCTCAAGATGACATTGTGATGAGGCAGTTGCCAGGACGTGAAAAACCCCATCAGACACTAACACAAATTTATTTATTATTCTATTATTCTTCTATTTTAAGCAAAGTAAACTTTCTCTTCTGTATATGTGGGCTTACAGGGGGAAAAAAACAACCAGATGAGCCACCTGGGTTCATTCAAAATTATGATTTCCAGACTTGGCACCTGTAGCACAGTGGTTACGATGTCAGCCACATACACTGAGGCTGGCGGGTTCAAACCTGGCCTGGGGCCACCTAAACAACAATGGCAACTGCAACAAAAAAATATCCAGGTGTTGTAGTGTGCATCTGTAGTCCTAGCTACTTGGGAGGCTGAGGCAAGAGAATCACATAAGCCCAAGAGTTTGAGGTTACTGTGAGCTGTGATGCCACAGTACTCTACCAAGGGTGGCATAATGAAACTCTTGTCTCCAAAAAGAAAAAAAGAAAAAATTATGATTTCCAATCTCAGAAGGTCTACAGTGTTGTTAGGTAATTATAATCTCTAGATAACTTAGTTATTTTCATTTTCTTCTATCTGAAATTTTAACCTCTCACCTCCTTATTCCAGTTCCCAGCTACATTCCCCCCCTTGATTCTCACAAGTTCTTACTGTCCCTTACCCTTTCTCACCTCCGACACCTTATAGAAGAATAAGAATTTCAAAGACATGTAAGACAGCCCACAGGACTTTCAGTTAGAAACAACCATCTTGTGAAACTTTATTTTACTTAAAGTAAATACTTACGGGAAACGGTAGGTTTTGAACGTATTATTTCTCCAACAAATATCAGTTCATCATCATCTTCGTCCTCAATTTTTTCTTTCTTCTGCCATGGTTCTAGATCTTCTTCTTCACATTCCAGAACCAGTTCTGCCATTTTAGAAGGACCTATTTTCAAAAGGAGAGAAGCCTTACTTTCAAAAAGAAAAACTCTTTTCTAAAACACAGTATATTTAAGATACACTTTAATAGTCCTCATATCAATTACTGAACTTATATCTGTAGTCAGTACATGGTAGCAAAGAACTCAGAATTCAATCTCTAAGATATAAACTAGTTTTACTAGCTAGATAATGAAGGACAGTAGTTTTTTATAGTGACCAATAAATTTCAGGATCAAATATAGTCAAAGGGAGTTTCAGATATATGACCAGAATATAATTATGTCTACAAAAAGGAATGTACCTTTTATCTGAAAAAAAAAAATCAGAAATAAACCCATCTGTATTAACAAAAGAGAGATAAATGAAGACTAAGAGGCAATGGATGGAAGCTACACTAGAAAAACTGAACCAGATTCAGATATATCAGGCACAGAGCAAAACAGGGATGGCATGCTATACAGAAAATAGGGAAATTAAGCAAAGTTTATTCCCTTCCAGGGCAGATTAGGAATTTCTTACCTGAAGAAATGAAGTAAAGAACATACATACTGTGAATATCACCAGCCTTTAAGTTCTCACCAAACACAGAGTCCCTACAAAGCACTTTAGTGCTTCACTCTTAAATGTGGATGAACCAATGAGCTCCAGAAATCTGAGGAAAACCTCCAAAGTTAAAGACCAAAGCAACAAAACAGACAAGAAGATTTTTCTTTTTTAAAGAGACAGAGACTCACTTTGTCACCCTTGGTAGAGTGCCATGGCATCACAGCTCACAGCAACCTCCAGCTCTTGGGCTTAGGTGATCCTCTTGCCTCAGCCTCCCAAGTAGCTGAGACTACAGGTGCCCACTGCAACGCCCAGCTATTTTCTTGTTGCAGTTTGGCTGGGCCCAGGTTTGAACCCACCACCCTTGGTATATGGGGCCGGCACCCTGCTCACTGAGCCACAGGCACCGCCCAGACAAAAAGATCTTAAAGAAAATAGATAGTCTCGGCGCCCGGAGCACAGTGGTTACAGTGCTAGCCACATATACCGAGGTTGGCAGGTTCAAACCCTGCCCAGGCCAGCTGAAATACGTGGTTACGATGCCAGCCACATACACCAAGGTTGGTGGGTTTGAACCCTGCCCGGGCCAGTTGAAGTAACAGAAAATAGTCAGGCGTTGTGGTGGGCACCTGTAGTCCCAGCTACTTGGGAAGCTGAGCAAGAGAATTGCTTAAGCCCAAGAGTTGGAGGTTGCTGTGAGCTATGACACCATGGGACTCTACCAAGGGCAAAACAGTGAGACTCTGTATCAAAAAAAAAAGTAACTGTGAGCTGTGATGCCAAAAAAAGAAC